CTTTTAGTCCCTCCATGTAAAGGTAGTGGTTCAAGATAAGCAGCAGAGAAAGTATTAGGTACTTAAATTATATTTCTCCTGGCGTCTTTTAGGTTATTGAACATTGCTAGAACCAGTATTGTCAATATTTAAGTTTGGATCTTAGATGTTTGGTTGTCTGATTAATCTGTTTGTATCTTAGCTCAAGAAGTATTTTATGTGGGAGCACACCTACACTGGTTACTAAATACTTGTGCAAATTCTTATTTGGTATCCAGCATCATTAAAATTCGTGGTTGTGCCATCTGTTCTTTTCATCACTTGTCATATGAGTGGTCATATGAATGTGTACTCAAAATGCATCACAAAGTATTCCAAGGAAATGTCAGATAAGGAAGTATGGAGAAAAATATTACTTTGTGTACCTAGTCTCTGTTACGAGTGTATTTAATATATTTTCTGGATGGCATTTAAACAATTTTTTGAAGTTAATGATGTGTTGCGTAATCCCGTGGCACAATGCTTGAAAATAATGTGCATACACAGTATGAGAGATGCAAAGAAATTCGTGCTGAAGCTGTTAGAACATCAGTGCTTTCACTAATTCTTAGAAGCAGTATTTTTACTATTTTATAAGAGTTTCCTCCTCTGTATGGTGCCCTAGGCCAGGCTGATGGGAATTGTGATGTTGTCCCAGTGCATTACAGTGGTATTTTTTCTGAAAATGCTCTGAATAGTTGATAGAGACAGGAGGAAAGCTTGTTTTACTACTACCTTAACTTTGAGGGGGAGGTAAGATATAAAAGTGTTTAGAATCACAGAATTGTCAAGGTTGGAAAAGACTTCTAAAATCATCAAGGCCAACTGTTTACCTAACACCGCCATGTTCGCCACTAACCCATGGCCCCAGGTGCCACATCCACATGTTTTTGAACATTTCCAGAGATGGTGAACCTGATCTCCTTATATGATCAGGTGACTCACCTGGTGTATGAGGGAAAGGCTGTGGATGTGGTCTATCTGGACTTCAGCAAAGCCTTTGACACTGTCTCCCGTAATATACTCCTGGAAAAGCTGGCAGCCCATGGCTTGGACAGGGGCACTCTGTGCTGGGTTAAGAACTGGCTGGAGTGCCAGGCCCAGAGAGTGCTGGTGAACGGGGCTGCATCCAGTTGGCGGCCAGTCACCAGTGGTGTTCCCCAGGGATCAGTGCTGGGCCCAGTCCTGTTTAACATCTTTATCGATGATTTAGATGAGGGGATTGAGTCCATCATCAGCAAATTTGCAGATGACACCAAGTTGGGAGGGAGTGTCGACCTGCCGGAAGGCAGGAGGGCTCTGCAGAGGGATCTGGATAGACTGGAGAG